TCCAGGTTTGCATTTCTAGAGCAAATTTCCACCTCAATCCAGGAACTCCAAATTTTATTTTTGACTTTTATAGGAATTTAGGAAGTTATGGTTTTAATCTAATATGTTTTCAAGTCATTTTCATATTTTAAAACTATTTTTGACTTAACATTGCATTTTGGGTTTTACCTTTGATTAATGCTTGTAATTGAAAACGTTTGTACATGATTCAGGTTTGATTCTTTAAATAGCATGTGGTACTGACTTGGAGCATATCTTGAGACAAATTCTTCAACATCATTGGGTCTTGGGTGTTGATAGGTTGATAAACCAAATCCATTAAAATGGACGAATGATGTTGATGATATTTGAAACTCTAATCCCATCCCTCTTCATCTTATTCCCCTTTCTTATTGTATTACGTGTTATGGGATAATTATCACTATATCATTTATCCAAACATGAAATACATAGATTGCTATTGACCGACCTCAAAATAGGTGCGACTTCTACATAAGTCCGCTTACGATTGCTTAACATAGCGCTAAATTTTGTCCCGATTCGAATAAATGATCATTCGTGGCCCAAACTTATGTTTGCAAGCCCAAGTATGTTAATTTGATCCCTTTGATCCAATAAACTTGGGATTCATTGTGTGGAGGCTTTGGTTCTACCAATCCTCTAATGGATCTTCATAATTTTTGGTCAACGTGGATCACTTAAACATCGTTGATCATTAAATGTTGCCTTGAGAATTCTAAAATGGATGATATACTTGACAAAAAGCAAATGTAACTTGTTGTTGAGAGGCTTTGGTTCTACCAATCCTCTAATGATTTCCAAATGCAAGTTACAAGATGGTCATCCAACTAACCACTAATTCTTAACAATTGACTTTACTTTATGCTTTTATTTTTATGCTTTTACTTTATGTATTATTTACTTTAGCATTTACATTTCATGCTATTTTCATCTTTGCTCACTTGAGCATTTACTTTTCAGTAATTTTATTTTGCTCACTTGAGCTTTTCTTTTCTTTTTGAAGATACTTAATAATCAATATAAACCATAAAAAACTTTAATGATATTTGGACTATTTGGTTACTATCCTTGGCATTATGGAGTATTGGACTTCTTGGACTTAGGATTAGAAACCTTGGCCTATGTTGGAGACCTTGTGACCTTAATTGATATTTTGTCTGGAGTTCTTGAGGTTTACCTCAACATATTGGGTTTTTTGTTTATTTTGTGTACAAGTTATTGTGATTACATATTTTGTTTGTAATCTAGAATTCACCCGCATACAGTCGTTACTCTGCCCAATTTTTGTGAAGACTTAATACACTTGAAGTTTGGTTCTCTCAAGAGGTCTAGTATCTTTGCTTGCTTAGTTTCAATCCAAAGAATGGGAATTCTATCTTGACTCATAATGTCAAGTATTGGCTTCTTGTTGGTTAGATGATTCTTCTCCTTAGATTTTACCTTATGCTTTAGGATAGTCTCCTCTTCTCCTCCCATCTTCTTTAATTTCAAAAATCTTCTCCCTCCTTTTGAAAACTCTTCTTGTTTTTTTAAACTTGAACAACTTTCATAATAAACTTGGACTTATGTCCATGCATTTTCAAAACATTTTCATAAATAAACTTCAATCAATTTAATAATACCTTGACATTTTTTTTTGTTTGAAGACTAAAAGTCAATCAATCTCATTTCAAACCATTTTTCCACTTTGGCTTTTATTTTAAAACTTTTTCTCAAAAGATTGGACTCTTGTCAATCCTTGTAGTGATGCAAACAACTATACATATACCATATGTAGTGAGGTGAGATATTTTCCACTTGGGTGATGAGTGAGACATTGTTGATTTTAAGATCCAAGCCATAGCCTCCACTTTGAGATGATGCAAATTCTCCTTTCTCATGATTGTGGGAAGTTAGTATGTTTTCCACACGGACAATGACGATGATGTCTTATCTCATAAAATTGACCAACACACTTGTGTTTTAAATTTTTTAAAGGTGAACTACGTGTACCCTGATCCCCTATTGCACGAAAGGTGGTACGTAGGCACTAAAGGTTCGCAACCGCGGCGGGTGCAAAAATCATAAAAAATATAATTCTTTTCTCACCTCCACCATTTATTTTACATACAACATTTTATAGCAAAAATATACAGATTTTTCAAAGAAGTTCCTGCGAAGTACCGTAGTTTTTTAGGGTGCTAATACCTTCCCTTTGCATAACCAACCCCCTTACCTAGAATCTTTCCCCCTCTTTTTGGGTTACTCGCTCTTTTCCCATTCTTTTAGAAACAATAAAGCGCGGTGGTGATTTTATTTTTGATCTGTACAAGTCTTGTCAATTCAATGGCTTAGTCTTAACATTTCTACCGCTACATCGATGAGTACCCTGGACAAGCTTGTAGTACCTATCTGAATAGAAATGTGCAATGTCTTGTTGTGAGCTCTGCTTTGTGGAGGAAAATCACTATCATTAAAACCTAGATATAATCCAGATGTCAGATTGGCTACAACATTGTCAAACTGGTTTACTGTAATCTCTTCTGCCACATGAAAAGAACTTAGAACCTTCATTAGAGAGTCTTGATACGCTTTTGAGTTAAGGAGCAACGAGAGTATTGAAATCTTGGTCGGGGTTTTGTGTAGCTGATCCACCACCCTATAATCACTTCTCTTGATTATTTTCAATAATTCTTGCGCTTCTTGGTCAGTAAAATTCTTGCTCGGAGGCTCTTGTTCTTGGTTTTCCTCCACCACAACTTTTCCCTTATCCTTACCTACAACTTCATTCTCTTTTTGTGTTTCGGGACCATAGATTCGACCACTGTGAGTCATGCCTCCTGTTCCAGCCATATTTGTGATCGTAGGTCCTTGACTTGTCGACGGTTCACATTCTTGTTTTAAACCATTTACGTATAAAATAGAAGCATAACTCCAAGGTACTGTTTTGTTACTTTTGTAATGGGTGGGAGATGACCCCCTAATCACCATCGTAGTCTTCGGAACCACTGGTATCCTCAGAGTTTGTCGTAGTATCATCACAGGCGCTTCTGTTGACTCTCCCCATGGGATCAGAAGAGTCTTCTTATTAAGGTTCGGACCTTGGCAAGGAATTACCAATGGCTTCTTTGCACTTCCATCATCGCAGCTACATATTTTTCTTCAGGGTATTGCCCGAATTGGACTATCCCTACACTCCAAACGACATTCATTCAAAAGGTTTATCGGGGCCTTTACTAGTTTGGATGCCCCAAAGTCAGTAGCCACTTCAATCGCATTTACAACTGACCCACCATGCAGAGGTGAAACAACCTTCCGAACATCGATTGATAACATATTAATGAAGTCTCCATCGATCATTTTTTATCCTATAGGAAGGGAAAGGTGAACATTAAGAAAACCTGAAGGGGGGTGAAATCACGGTGTTTTTACCAAGAGATTGGGTAAGGAAGTCTGTTATGCAAGGGGAAGGTGTTAACACCCCTCACGCCTATGATACTCCATAGTATCCACTCTTGTTTTCTACTTCTAAGGGTGTGTTTAAGATATATCTATGATTAAAAGATAAAATGAAAAAGGAATGCATGAAAAAAGAAATGTGGAGAAAAGAAAGAAGTATTTACAATTTGTGCTTGGTTAGGCTCCGCAACCTCTTGCCTACGTATCCCTTTCGAGGAATCAGAGTGTCGTAGTTCAGCTCACATGTTTTGGTTTGTTTTTTATTTTAATGGAACAATATTAAGTTTTCATTCTACTTGTAGCTCGACCTTTGGAGACTCACGCATCTGGAGTGGAAAGGAATTAACATGCTCAAAAATTGCTCGGAGGCGGATGATGATATATTCGCAATTCTAGCAAGTAGACATGGTGCAACCTGACCTTTGGGGAATTGCACATCGTATTGCATAGAAGGGGAAAATAACATATCCATTTTGAATTTTGAAAAGCTAATAGGCGAGAAAAGATTTTGAATTTGTTGGTGTTTTTTACTTGAGAAATGGGTTTTGTATTGTTAATGTGTTTTGGAATTTGCCCAGAAAAAAGAGTTTTAGTTTTAATGCACATGCCAAAGGGGAAGAAAAAAAGTCTAAGGGAGACTAGCCTAGTTTCAAAGCCTAACGTTATCATACAATGATGGTCCTATGATTCAGATTGACAAAGAAGAGAAATTTCTACCTAATATTGTCATACATGGATAGCAAGCTTGGTGTCTATCTGGAACACACTCATTCATGGTTTGAACCAACCTAAGGTATTCTAGGAACAAACTCATGCGAGAGTGAACCATCCTAGTTGCTATTTGGAATGCACTTATATCGAGAGTAAACCAAGGGTCCTAAGGGAGCACGACATAAATGATAAAAGTAAATGCGATATGTACACTGGAATAAGCGCATATGAAAATAAACCAGGAAGCATCCATTTGGAACAGACTCATATTGAGAATCGAACCAAAACCAAAACCTCTTAGGAACACCCCATACGGAAGTGAACCAGACGAATAATATCTGAATATATCTTCTTCTTTTTTTATGATTCTTTTGACAAAATGTAAAGTGCAAAATGTAAATGGGATAAACTCATATCGAGGATGAACCAAGACCAAAGCCTCTGAGAAACACTCCATACAGAAGGTGAACCGGGCGCATAATATCTGATATGTCTTTTTGTAACTTTTCTAGAATTTGTAAAATAAATGAATGTAAAATGGAACACACCCATCCGAGTATGAACCAACCGAATCCACTTGGAACAAACTCATATGGAGAATAAAACCAAGACCAAATCATCTAAATGGACCGAACACATATCAAGAACGGATCTGAAATGTGAGAGAATGTAAACACAAGTGCGGAATCGCCTATTCAAAGATAGAACTTTAAACAATCACAATCAGCATACAGAAAGCGGTGCATGCTACAGGATTTTAAATAGATACTTTGAGCGCACGCTCTTTATTACCTACTTTACATGATTACTAGAAAGCGGTAAATTCAATATTACAGAAATTGGTCCAAAAATATACCAAACGGATAGCAAATTCGTAATAGCAAGCTCAACGAGTGTAAGGAACATAGAATGTGCCGCAAGCTAGCATTAACAACAAGCAATGTCAGAATAGAAGGAAGAGGGGGTGCAAGTAATAAACGTATCCGTCACCAAATAATGCTCAAGCAATTTGTATCCGAATTGGCTTCCAAAATATGCACATCTCACAAAAATGGTTAGCAAATAACAACACAAATCAAATGCAACAATGAGTATTAGCAATATGTATCAAAATGAAGCATGGTTATGTACAAAGCAATATACACAAGTGACATGAGCATGGTATAGCATTCTCGGGCAGCAACTTTCAACACATGAAAGTATGCCAAAAATTAGCCCAAGAGTGAAAAAAAAATGAATTCTGATATCAAGCACTTGTACATTTTAACTAAACATTGTGTAAAGTAGGAATTGAAACATGTTGGAAGCGTGAAATAGCTTTACGAGACAGCAAATTTTCCATAATGGAAACACACCAAAAATTGAGTCAAAATCAACGGTACTTGATATCGGTATCAAATAATCATGCTAACAAGTTCACATAAGAAATTTGTTGAAATAAAATCAATCTTTAATGTAAAAATTGATATTCCGGGAAGCAATACCATAACTCATTAAAGGGTGTAGAAACCGGTTTAGAATCAATCAAAACTTACTAACAGTATCAAAGAAATTCACAATTAAACACACCAGTGCATTATTTACAAGCCTAAAATCAATGTACATGTAAGTTTAAATTCCGGACAGCATTGTTGCAATCTTTTAAATGCTCCAAATATCAAAATAAAGTCTACCAAAAATGATAACGGTGTTCATCAAAAATATCACTAAGTGTGAGAAAACAATAAGCCGGAATCAATTTACATGGCCCGGTATAATTACAATTTTTGGACAGCACTATGCACATATTGATATTCACCTTGAATTGAGTTAGAAACTAAAGTTTTGATGTGTTAAACTTGAATATCAACATATGATAGTTTATACGAAAATTGTAAACGGGAGTGCACCATTAAAAACGGTATAGAAAACATGCTAACAAGCTAATGAACCAAATGAATTTAGTGTATTGGAATTGAATCAACAATTTGCAACTTAATTCCAACTCATGAGTTTATGTATTTATGTCAAAAGCGATGAATCGAAATCAAATTGCGACATGTGAAAATCAAAGTTCAAGAATCAAAATGTATTTCCATACACTAAATTCACATAGGTCTCACACAATTAATTTAAACTAATTGATTTCACGAATTAAAGTAACTTCCAAAATCAATTTTCAACTCATGAAATCAAGTCAACAACATTTATTTCAACAACAACTTGCAATTTCAAGATTCAACGTAATTTCATGAGTTGTTAACCAACTCCACAATTCTCTAACATTCTTGATATCAACTATTCAATTAATTCATGAATTAAAACTAGATTAGGTCTAAGTGTTAGTTTATGTTACTAATCACAATCAATCTACATTCTTGAATCAACCTAAAACATAACTAATTGTTAATTCAACTCTTAATCCTAATCAAATTCCTAATACAAACTCAACCTAAACTCCTAATCCGAGAAATTCAACCTAAATTTTTAATCAAGAATCTATCAAAAATTAGTGTTAAACAAACTAATTCCCAAACTCAATTCTAATATAAATTTAGTTATAATCTAACAATTAACAACAAAGAAAAATATAAATCAAATAATTTATTAAAAAATACCTAAAACCTTGGAGGAAGAAGAAGTTGGAGGAAGTGACGGTGACAAAATGACTGGCCGGAAGGAGGACTGTGCCGAACGGGGAGCGCTGCACGACGGAGGGTGTACGGCGAGGCAGAGCATCGCGTGGAGGGAGGGAGACTGCAAGGAGAGCATCGCATGGAGGGAGACCGCGGGGGAGGAGGAAGCCGAGAGTGGAGGGAATCGCGATTGAGGAAGGGGGAGCGATGGTGGCTAAGTCGGTGACGGAGGAGTTCCGGCGAGAAGGGGGTTGTTGTGGTGGTTTGGGGTTTTGGTTTTGGAGGGAAGAGAGAAGAGTTTGATTTTTAGAGTTTTTGAGAGAAGTTAGTTTTTGTGTTGGTGAGGATTGTATAGTTATGAGAGAAAATCTGAACTTTTGATTTATATAGAGAGTGGAAATGACCCTTGGATGCACAATTGGATTGGGCTTTGCCTTGACAATGTAATATTGACATGTCCACAAAGTGTTATGTCATCAACGGTATGGAATTTCGATTTGGTCGCAAAACGGAAAATGAAGATAATAAATATTGTAACGTGTTGATGAAAGAACAGGCTCATTTGGATGAACAGTGATTTAGTTATGATTTTTTGAAGTTTCGCCTCAGACAAACTTATTTTGGGCTCTAGTGTCAACTCTGACACGTTCTTCATTAAAAAACTGGTATTGATCGGAGCAGAATCCGGTCTCAACTTTTGAAGCAAAGTTGTAGATCTATGAGTCGGTGAACTTGTGTAAAAAGATGGGCCTGATACAATAAAAATGGACCGATTTATGAGTTTTCGAATTTTCGACCCAAATGAAATAATATTCAGCATTCAGGATTTTCGCAGCGTCACGCGCACTTTGGGAGAAAAACGAAGACCTTTTGGATACCGTTTGAACTTGGAATCTTATGGGAAAATGTAGCCAACTAAAATTTTGAAATTTTAGCACTGGACCCATCGCGATACGGTAAAAACTGAGTGCGATATGAATATTTGAATATCGGAAATCAATTCGACTGAATTCCGGTTCAGCTCAAATATCTATTCAGAAACTCAAAATTCTCACTACTTTCCTTATAGAATGAGCTCTCGGCTATAAAAGACGACATCAAGAGGACTTCGATATGGAATTTTTGGAACAAGAATTGCACTCATATGGTGCTTCATCCGGGAGTTATGAATTTTTCAGTGCGCCCGAGACGACGGTTCAACCAGTTTTTTATTTGTATTTTCCAATGTTTAACTTTGACAGTTTCACGTATTCGGAGAAATTCCTTCGAGAATTAGCCTTCCGCCTGAACATGGAAGTTGAAGAGGACAACGAGAAAGATTCAATGGAGAAAGAACCATCTCAATAAGGTATACCAAATCAGAGTTATAAATTTCTGAACGCCAAAAATACTGTTGATTGGTAACCCGGAAACTTAGTAACGAAATTATTTGACCGTCTTCAACGTATAATTGTTTCCCAGCTCGAACATGAAAAGTGAAGATAATAGGAATACAAACCCCTTGATCAAATTTCAGCTCACAATGATACCTTGGCCCGAAGTTATAAAATTCTAAAATTTTCCGCGCCGAAATAGACTTTCAGCTTGAACTGTCCCGAATCAAACGAAACCTCTGGCTTCCCTCTACCACTCAAGACATGATAGAATACATGGGAATTAGGCATGGTAATAAGTCATTCATTCATTGGCTAGATTACCTGTATAAATATTTCAACGCCTCCTATAAGCAATCGATGCCTTATAGAAATGCCTTAATCCCACGATAATAGGGCTAATGATATGCATGTATGTACATGATAATGAAACACAAGCCACCGTGAAGAGGGTAAATTTTGGGGTATAATAATTGCCTCTACTCAATCTCCTTTAACGTGATAAGTGAGAAAAAGTGACAACTTTCGAGCGTTCAAGGTGAAAGGGGATTGAATACTTAAAAGACCCAAAAATTTGCGCTCTAAGCCACAGGAACGCAGCAAGCTGGTAACGATATTGTTTGTAAAAGGTATGATATTTTTTGGTTATGATTTCACGGGTATTGATGATAAAACGATAGAGTTTTGGCTCCATAGGAAAAGATGTCAGAAATACTGACTTGTGATTAAGGCAATGAGTAGCAGACTCAACCTAAGAGAACTAGAAGCAAACTAGACTCTGGAAGAAATACCAGAATGATTCGAAATCTTGATAAGTAAGTAACAAGTTGCAAACTCGATCTAAGAAGGATAGTAGCAGATTAGACTTCAAGGGGAATATCAGAACGATTCAAAATTCAGATAACTAGGTAACGAGTGGCAGACTCGACCTAAGAAAAAAATGACAGATTAGATTATCCTTGATTACCATAGCCCATCAGCACGCTAAAGAAACACTGGTGGGAACTGAGAGGTACGAGTAGCAACCTCGACCTAAAAAGGGAGTACAATAGTCAAAGTGAATAGTTTCGGCTCGACACTGGAGTACTAAACAGGACAACAAACGGGCGGGTTTGGATCCTAACGCAAAGTTCTAGAAAGTGCGTGTTTTCTAAAAGCACCTGGGAGTCTTGACCGAGGATTTACAGATGATTTAGAAGGTATGAGGTTACCAAGGTGTAAAGAAGGAGACCTAGGGAGAGTATCAAACTCGGCTCATGGAGATTAGGTTTTTAGTGACTAACTCAACTTGAGACTTAACAAACGAGTAGTGGACTCAACTCAGGAGACTAGTGGCCGACTAGACTGAGTACCAGGACGAAACTGGATTTCACGCACAGGGTTCGACTGCAATGGACCATCTGCACGATATAGGAACGCTGGTGGGGTCGAAACAAGGTAATGCGGGGTAACCTCTACCTAAAGGAGATGATAAATCTCCGAGGAGTACCAGGGATAGAACCGGACTCAATAGGTACATCAATAATCCGCAGGGATGACCTAAGAGAGGGTGATAGAAACCTAAAGAGATGTGCCAGGAAAAAATAGGGCTTAAACATGTACATTAACAATCAGCAAAGATGACCTAAGATAGGGTGAAAGAAACCCAAAGAGATGTGCCAGGACAAATTGGGCTTTGACAGGTACATCAACAATCAGTAGAGATGACCTAAGAGAGGGTGATAGAAATCCAAATAGATGTGCCAGGACAAAACTGGGCTTAAACATGTACATCAACAATCAGTGGAGATGACCTAAGAGAGGGTGATAAAAACCCAAAGAGATGCGCCAGGACAAAACTGGGCTTTGCAGATGAACACCTGGAAATTTGGTAGTAATTGGTAAAAGGATACTTGGAGAATTGGAATATCAAGGGTAAAGAAACTTCGTTGAGGATATAATCCGAAGCTTTCGTTTTAGAAACTCCACTAAGAATGACAGAGAGTAACAATGGCTTATGTTTCAATGCATGATTGGATTTTTTTCTATGGAGTAATGTCCCAAAGAGAATGAGAACACTACACTTTGAGGATGCAATACGATGATGCATGTTTAAGTGTTTCACTGAGGATTATCAGGTTGAATAACTCATTGCTACATTATATGCTGATAAGATTGGCAAAAATAAACTGCACTCTTTGCTGAAGAATATGTCTGGTTGATCAGTATTCTGAAAATGAACACCCTCAGATGTGGGGCGTGGCTTGGAAAAGCCATAGACAGGTATCAAACCTATGAGGAATCAAGATTCTTTTTTAATTCCTGGGGGAATGATATGTCAACCTCTCGCCGGAGGTAACAAAGTTTGCGCTGGGGCAGAATTTTCCTCTATCATGTCAGATGGAACTGTTGTACCCTAAAATTTTCCCTCTCATTTTATCAAGATTCTCCTTACAAGACTTCTTGGATTCAAGACCAGATCAGGGTTTGCTCAGCTCAATACATCTCCTTGCTCAAATGACCTGAAATTAGGGTTTGAGTTTGCACAGGGATTTTTGGACTTCCAATGCCTCATGTGACTTTCATACTTCATGTTGGACCTCTAAGATTTCTCATACCAAGTTTCAAGCCTTGAATCAAATTTTTGCCCAGTCAATTGGACAGTTGACCTAAAAATCAGCTGTATTGGGGAAAAAGTCAACCATGGCCAATTTACAGTCAAACCTCATAATTTTTTATCCACATCAACATTATAGACTCATATGAACCATTTGATCAAGTTTGGACCACAACTCCTCAAGAAATTTGGTCAGATCACAAAAGGGCAAAATGGTCATTTTTAGGGTTTTGATTGTAGAAGGGAAATTTCTGATGTTTGACCTAGCCAATGGAAAATTGGGTTCAAGCATGGTTTCAAGGACTCAATGGCATCATATTGACCTAATCACAAGGTTCAAAAGATCTCAAATGCATTGGATTGACAAATGAATTTTCAAGTCAACTGATCAAAAATCAACTGTACACTGAAAAGTCAAACTTTGACTTTTTGGTCAAAATCAAGTGCCAAGGGTCATTTTTCATCAAGACGTGTCAAAACATGAAACTTGCTCACCAAGAAACCTAATTTTGGAAATTAGGGTTTAAAATGGAAATTTTTTATAACTTAGAAATTTTCTAAGTTATGAAAATTTCTTATTTTTCCCCAACTTTTCCCAACTTTTTCACCATGATGAAATTGGATTCAAAGAAAACTTCCTACATGAAAGTTGTAGTCCTCCACAAAATATACAACTTTTATTCACAAAGTTTTCCCAAAAGATGCTTGTATCTCAAGTTATGATTTTGTGAATAAGGGTCCAAAAACTTTTTAACTTAGTGAAAATTTGCCCTAGTTTAGGCAGATTTTTGACCTAACTTCATGGCAACTTTTCACCTAGTTTCAAGAGGAATATCAAAATTCATTTCAAAGATGGATTGTGGAGCATGTTACAAGCTTTCCAAAATGTCCAATAACTCTCCAAGATCATTTATGGTTAGGGAGAATCGAAGAAAAGAAAATGGAAATTTATCACTTTTGTCCATGGCATTTTTCACATTGTTACAAGTTGCAAATCTGTCCTAAGCATGCTTGTAATTGTTTTACAGGTCCTAAACCTTTCCACACTCCTTAATTTAATGCAAATACATTGGACAATGGCTTTGTTCTGCGCTATGGAGCTCTGTACATTGAATTAATCCATTTATGGCATGAAGGTAACAATACCATTTCCATAAAGCTTGCTTTTTGAAACTTTGTATTCCTTGAGCCATGGACCTAACCTCTTGCTGCAAACAAAGTCCACAAATATCAGGCAAAGTTCACCAACTATGTGCAGCTAAGGAGCTAGCCTGTACAGGCCTTGGGCATTGTCATCTCATTTTTTCTTCAAAAGCAAGTAAACTTGCAAAAGTCCACACAACTTGGATATCTGATAAGAGCAAGCCTTGGACTCATTTCAAACAATCTCAGCATATTGTAACAAGCCTAAGACACGATTTGTTAA